CGGTAACGGATGTTAGAAATCTGACCTGCAGGAGCTGCCTAGACTGTTAATGTTGAAAGTGAAGTGACATTTAAAAACATAGACGGTGCCGTCAAAAGGAGAGATAAACATCAGAATGCTTTTGGCAAAGACACATCACAGATGATTAGAATAAGCAACTCAAGTTTACTTTCTCTATATTGATTGTGTTGACATTTCCTCCAACATGGAGTAGTGATTCTGGGTTTGCCTGACTTTATGTAAAACATACCTTTCACCTGGAGAAGTTTAATTTCTCATCACCACTGTTTTAGCAGCTTTCAGGTTTTCCATTGCCAAGTTCAGGCACTGTGAAATAACTGTTTTCTGGGTGAGCAGTTTGGGGGCACGTAATTTTCCTGTTTCTGAGGTGGGGGACAAAAACAGCAGGCAGGGACCTACTTCCTCAGACACTAAGTAGGAAAATTGCCTCCACACACCATAACGACCAAATCGACTCATAAAATGCACAGCCCATGAACCAGGAAGTATTTTAGATGGGACGATACAGAGGTATAAATATTACTAGTCTTAACCCTAGGGACTCAAAAGTCATGAAGCTAGTTGTGCATGACAATTGTGTTAATTAAATTTGGTCACGTTATACAGTTACCCAAAGAAGGATAGAGAAGCCAGGAACACTGGCCAAGTGGATGAAGCCAAAGAGAGACTGAATCAGTCCTTGGTACTATGTGGTGCCTGCTGGGAGAGGGGAAATGAGTTAGGAGTGTAGTTCTGAAAGCTTGTCTGTACCACGCCATACTCCCCGAAGCCATGGTGGATAGGAATACTAGCTGCAGATGAGGTGTTACTGCCGAAGATTGGCCCTAGAGATATACACTAAAAGTGTCTAGCACTGTATATGTTATTCAGAAAAATGTGTGGATCCTTAAGGATGAAAAGTGAAATTACAGGGACCAGCAGTTAGTGTGATGGCTGTCGTTGCCCTGTGGGGGGGGGGGCGATAGCTCATTTTTTGTCTTTCTATCTTTTTCTGTCTCTCTAGCGAGCCTGTATGTCCTATAGCAAAAATCTCTCTCTAGAAAAAAAATAATTATTACCTACTTAATTAAAATATTCATCCTCAGCACCAGCAGCCAGCATAATGGCTATGTCGCTGAACTCCCATGTAGTCGACCGTGATTCGTGTACCGGACCCGGTGGCTTAAACTCACGCTGGGCACATGTGTGTGCGTGCCCAAGATCCCACGAGGAGAAAGGAGGAGAAGGGATTGTGGTGTGGCCATCCCCCCGGGGGGGTGATTTTTCACTTTCTGTCTCTCTGTCTCTCTCTGTCTGACGATTGCACCTGCCCTATAGCAAAAACCTCTCCAAAAAAAAAAAAAAGTGAAATTACATTGACAAGGTTTCCTTGTAAAAGTATTGTAAGCTTTTCTTATAGTAAAGGCCTTTCCTTCCTCCTACCTACCCCCTATAAAGCTGACAGAGAAGAAAATAGAAAGTGAAATTTCTACAGATGTGGTTACATTGAACTGTAGAGTCTTTGGAATGGGAGTTCTGTTGAGTGAGGCAATGTCTGCATGCCATCTCTCCATTCTCCCCAAACCCTTGAATCTGATGGGACCATGAGCAGGAGGAGGTTGGAGAGGCTGAGCACAAGGAATGTCCTCTCTTAGTAGCTGGTCTGGTGATTCTGTAGAGATCTGCCTGTCACTCTGGACTCTCTATTGTCTCTTAGGTGTCAGTAGGGTCTGTGGCAGGAGCTCTAGGATCTTCAGCTGGAGAAGGCACCTGGACGCCTGCATGGTATGACAGGTGGCAGCTAGCCTCTCATGCCATGATGCTCCACCTAGGGGAATGCCCATCTCTCGTCCAGTCTGACAGAGGCAGTCTTTTGTGAACACTGAGATCAACCTGGCATGGCACTGCTGAATCATGTTATGGAACTGGCTGCATCTGGGACTGAGCAGAGTTTCTCTTCCTGGGCTTAACTTCAGAGATTTGACTTGTGGGTCAGGAGTCCTTTGCTAAGGTCTCTGGGGGGGATTCTGGTAGCTTGTGCTCCTGGCCCTTGCCCCTGCATGTTTGGTGTAGCTATACAATGTCTGACTAGGAAATTGAGGCACAATAAATGCTAGAGGCCCTTGGCATAGGGCAAGGCAGCCCCTTCCCTCAATAGGGGAGTAATCTCCAGCCTTTGTTGGAGGGGGGGTTAGAACGGGTACCGTAGGAGCCAACAGGTGATATGTCGGTTAAGGTACTGGATATCACATGGTTTGAGTCCCAGAACCAGTGGCTTGAAAATCATGCTAAGTGTGTGTGAGCATGCTCAAAATCCCAAGGACACTGGAGGAGAAGGGATTGTGGCATGGCCATCCCCTCTGGGCGTTGATTACTCTTTCTTTTGTCTCTCTCTGGTGAGCATTCATGCCCCATAGCAAAACATTAAAAAATAGAAAGTTTTAAAAAAAAGGTAAAATTTAAATAAAGTAGAGAATGAGTATCATAATCCTACATGTTCTTTCTCTATCCTCATTCTCCTTATCTTATAGGAGCAGCTGCTAATTCTGTCTGTTCTTAGCCACGTCCTCCCCAGTGCCCAGCTTGCTTAGTACCAAGTGGGGCAATGGAGCAAGCTGCAGGAGGTTCAGCCCTTGATCTGCCTGAACTGACCTGAGGTACTGGAAGGTCAGGCAGCTGTGAGTGTAAGATCTGTGCCCTGCTGTAGCACATTCTTGGGGGGGGGGAACCTGTTGAGGAAAAGGTAATCAATACTCTCAGAGGGAAGAGTACATTCACCAGTGCTCTCCTCTCAGCCATACTGCCGGGCCACAGCCCTGAATGGAGAGCCTTCGAGAAAGCTAGTTTTCTGGCATTGCGATCCAAGTCCAACTTACGTATAAACGCACCTAGAGTTACTTATTATTTTTTTTTCTTCACAAAAAAGTGGGAGAGTTAAAAAGATGAATGTTTAAAGAGGGTCTCGCCATGATCCTCGGTGATCCTCTGCTGCCAGTTAGACAGTACTACAGGCAGGCAGCACCATGCCCAGCCTGCTTACATGGGTCCTGGAACCAAATGTGGGCCTCACATGTGACCCAGCCTTGATTAGTGGCACCTCTTGAGCCTCTACAACCACCACAGCCAGAATGAGAGATACTTTACTTCCTTAGTTAAAGACAAATTTAAACGAACAGACACCTCTAGAACACATTGTGACATATGGCATGTTCCTTTTGTGAGGTTTGTGGCACACTCTCAGGGAGAGTCTATTAGGCAATGTCCCTTCATCCCCACCCCCACATCCCTGCCATCAGAGTTTCCTTTTTTTTGTCTGATGAACTAAACATCAATTTAGGCATGATTTTTAATTTGAGAGGTAAAAACCCTCAATTAAAATGTGTCAAAAGTGGTTTTATTTAGAGAGATATTTTCGCTACAGGGCATGTGCACTCACCAAAGAGACAGAAAGCAAGAAATCAATCCTTAGTGGGGAAGGCCATGATGCAGTCCCTTCTCCATTTTTCTCTCAGGATTTGGGGCACACACACATATGTGCTCAGCATGAGTTTCAAGCTACTGGGTCTGGGACTCAACTGTGGTTGACCATGTGGGAGTCCGGTGCCTTAACAGCGACCACCTGCTGGCTCCCAGAAATGTTTTTAAAATGTAAAAGTGTTGAAACATAAAATAATTAGAAGAGTTACAGAAATTCTGCATAAGGTAACCGTATGAGTATATTTCTCTTAGCATCTTTTAACGTCATGAAATCAATGCTTGGTGGTCTTTGCTATAGGGTGTGCGTGCTCACCAGAGAGAGAGAGAGAGAGGAAAAGTGAGAAAACATTCCCCAGGAGGAGATGGCCACACCACAATCCTTTCTTCTCTGTTCTCTCTGCATTTTGGGTATACATGCACACATGCGTGGTATATTTTTCAAGCCCCCTATGGCCTGGCTTGGTGACCCTTTTACATATTCCTGTTTTGCTGCATTCTCTTATGTTTAAATATTCTGCAGCATTTGTATAATTTTGCTTCTCATTAATTTCCTAGAAGCCTTCAGGTCTTGAGTTCCTATGGTCTGCTGATTTCTTGGTTCTTAGTGAGCTTTTTCTTTAGACTTTCTGTGTCCTGAGGGCCCTGGAAGGACAGACTAATGGCTTTAACTTCTGTAGTTTTGTCCCCTAAGATGACATGGCTTATTTTGTTATTTCTCTGGCCTGGCTAGGTGTGGTAAGAGTCATGAGACAGATGGACCATGCCATGTTTGCTGAAGGCGATGAGCCATCTACAGCTCCAGGTTGGCCTCAGGCAGGAACAGGAAGTCCCTCATGTTGTCCTACTTTAAGGCTCTTTACAAGGAACATGGTGTGAACTCTTATTGATAGTTTGTATTGGTTTAGCTCTAAGGGTTGGCTCATGTTCAGGAAATTGAAGTGAGCATGAGCAAGATACAGAAAACTGCATTTTCTCCACTAGACTCAAAACTGTCTGCCTCTTCACTTGTAAGATGCAACAGCCAAAGGTAGTCTCTCCAAGGAGTAGGTTACGCTGGTGAAAGGTGTATATATACATATGTGACATAAACACACTTGTATCAACATCGACATACAGAGTCCTATGTGAAGGCATGTTTTTATAATCTAGATCCAAATGCTAGTTCCATGTCTTGGGAGTATGACTTTTCAGTGTTACCTGACAGTTGTCCAAACCTCCTCCTTCATTTGTATGCTGGGGATGCCAGGTTTACTTATGTCAGCAGTTCCCAAAGATCAGATGAGCATGCGCATGGGCTGATGAGTTAAAGTCGCTGATGATGGTGTTGTGTTCTTCCTAAGAATGCTGTTTATTGAAGCTTTCATCTCTTTTATACTCTTAAGAGTTGAAAGTCACAACTGGTTCTTTTTCTACATATGCAACAAGTGAGATTTGGCAGTGGGCTGTTAAAACTATGAATGAGTTCTGGGAAACACCCAGTTCTGTAAAAGATTGCTCAACTCACTTGTCTGTTTGCTTAACAGCGTGCCATGTAAAAAATGCGTGGTGGTTGGTAATGGAGGAGTTTTGAAGAATAAGACATTGGGAGAAAAAATCGACTCCTATGATGTAATAATAAGGTAAATGTATATCCTCTTTGCTAACTCAGAATTGTTTAAGAAGAATATGGCTTTCTACTTTAGAACAGTTGTGTTTTAAAAGGAAGGGGATTTGTTTCAGTGGGTTTATGTACTTGATTATACAACCTTCTGTCTCAGTTATTGGCTAGTCAGGCCTAGATTTCAGGTCACTCATTTAACAAATATTTATTAAGTCCTCTTAATAGATCAGCCACAATTCTAGCCAACACGGAAGATTGCAAGAAATAAGAACAATGTCCTTGCTCCCTGTGGAGTTTACATGCTAATGAAGGAAAGAAAACAATAATTAAATATAAGAAAATATAATACAATGATAGATGCTATGCGAACGATTTTTTTTTTTTTTTGCTTATTTTTTAAGAGAGATTTTTGCTGTAGTGCACATGAGCTCATGGAGAGACAGAGTAAGACAGAGAGAAAGTGAGAAATCACCCCCCAGGGGGGATGGCCATGCCACAATCCCTTCTCCTCCATTCTCCTCTCAGGATCTTGGGCATGCACGCACATGCACCTGGGAAGTTCAAAGCTGCTGGGTCTGAGACTTGAACTGTGGTCAGCTATGTGGGAGTCTAGCAACATGACAATATGCCACCTGCTGGTCCCAACAATTTCTTAAAAAAGATATGCTAGGGGATGACTGAGCAGCTACTTTAGAATGAATGACCACTTTGAGGAGGCGATATCTAACTGAACCTAAGTTACCACATAGGACCAGCCATAGCAATGCAGGGAGAGAGAAAGCTCGCTGCAGGGCCTTAGGAGGATGCACCTGAGTTTGAGGGGAGCAGTAGAGAAACCTAGTGTAGCTGGAGAGCAGCAGGCTGGGAAGAGCTGTTCAGTTGGAAGCTGAAGGAGTGGGTAGGCTTTGTAACTTGGGACTAGAAGCTTGGATTTTATTTTAAGTAGAACAGGAAGCCTTTGGAGATTTTTGAGCATGAGAGCAGTGCAATTGATGTCTTTAAAATATTCTGGCTGTGGCATAGACAATGGAATGCATGGGACAAGGGTGGAAATGAGGCCAATTAGAAGGAGGCGATGAGGGTGACTTAGGACAGGATTGTCAAGGGAGAAAAAGAAGTAAATGGATAGACTGGAGACTGGATCCATGTTTTATGTGTAGAGTTATTCAAGCTTCATTATATTATATGGAGAATAAATAAATAAAGAAGCCACAGGTACTTCCTCCTCTATTTTCAGCCTAAGAATCGGCTGGAGAGTGGTATCATTCATTGAGTTGGGAAAGAATAGACTAGAAGCAGGCGTAGGAAAACAAGATTTCTGTGCAAACATATCAGATCCGAGATGCTGATTATGTTTGCAGTGGGGAAGTAAAGTAGTTGGACAAACAGGCTAACATCTGGATGGTGAGCAGCCTATAACTTGCATTGAAAACATGAAGTGTGCGATTTCCTGGGTAGATAGAAGAGAGCCCAGGGTAGGGCCTCTGAGTGGGCAATACTTAGAGGTTGATCAAAGAAAAAGGAGTAAAACAGACAGAGAAGATCCACCAGTGTGGTAGGAAGAAAATCAGAAGGTGACAGCAGAAACCACAGCAATGAAGTGTTTCAGGCCACAGGGGGAGAGCAGCCATGTCCCAGCCATGTCCCAGCGTAATCGATGTCTTTAAAATATTCTGGCTGTGGCAGAATATTTGTTTGTGAGAGGTCACGCAAGATAGAGACAGGTGACCGTTGGATTGGCAATCTGAAGTTCATTGACACTATCGGCAAAAGGAAGCTCAGGGGCATGATGCAGTGAGAAGCCCAACTAAAATGAGTTGAATGACAGATGAGGAAGTAAAACCAATAGTCAACTCTTCGGAGAAACTGTGCTCTGAAGGAGAGTTGGAAAACGAGGTGGTCACTGGAGGTGGTCACAGAGTCAAGGAAGAGTTTATTGTGTTTTCTTTCTGTAGCAATAAGAGATGCTAGAGAACGTTGGTAAACTGATGGGGATGAGCGGAGAGTTTGGTGTGGTAGAAAGTGGGGGGAACAGGGTCTAGAGCACTAGCGCGCTTAACCTTTCGTAGTGGAAAGGAGAACTGTGAGTATGTTTATAGCTATCGGATCCCTTAGATATGGTGATGGGAAATAACATCTGTATCTGTTTTCTCAATGAAAGGCTGAGATAAAGTCAATGTCTGGGGTAAGTGTATGTGTGTTAGAAGGGTCTCTGAATAGTCTTCTGAAGAGTGGGCAAGTTGGCACACTGGGGCAGTGCGTTAGGATGGCCCGACAGTGTGTAGGGGTTTTGCTGGCCTTCTGCATAGCGAGGCCATCTTTTCTGTTTATCATCCATTTCGATGAAACAGGTTATTTATCTACAAAACAATTTTGAAGGATTTACACATTTCTCTACCCATAGTTGTCTATATCTGATATTTAGAACCAGAGCAAGCCCTGGTGGGAAAATATCATGGGCATAACATTTTAGAAGTCATTAATGAGTGTTATTAATACTGTCTTATATTACATAGAGTAAGAGGCAAAGGGCAAAGCAGTATTTATCCTCCTAGGGGACACTGTTTTGGAAAGTACGCATTCCTTTTTTATAGCATACTTTCATAGTATGCGCAGAAGTAGTGCTTGTCTAACCTTGGCTTTGCACATAGACAAACCCGACAGTAGATCCTTTGTGGTTCTGTAGTTCAGTCTAGCAATAGACATTAATTATGTTGTGCTTGAGTATAATATAGCAATTTTAAATTGTTACTTTATTCCAGAGCACATTTTTGATGGGTTTTCAGACCAGCTTAAATGTCATTCTTCTGGCCTGTCCGTGGCTTAGACAGTCATATGCTAGATAACTATGTGACCTTGGGCAAGTAACTTTATCTCTTGGGATCTTAGGCTCTTATCTATAAATCTAGGGGGCTTTGTGTGATCATCCTCCAAGGTTTAACTCTAGTATTCTGTACTTCTTTGATTTAGTCTTCACTATTCTTGAAGAAAACCTGAAATTATTGTTGGCTCTCCAACTAATTTTCAAGTACAAATGAATGTTTCTGGCTTTGATCAAGTAGCTGTTTATGGAAAGGAATGATCTCCTTGGCCTTTATGTGTAGAAGATGGATCAACTGCCTTGTGGTTCCAGACCACAGGCTACGCGGCTGATGTTTTTCAAACTGAATACTCTCAGAAATGTGATGAAATGGCTCATACTGCACTGGTCTACATATCCTCTGTATTTTACTACCCACAGAATGAATAATGGCCCTGTTTTAGGACATGAAGAGGAAGTGGGGAGAAGGACAACTTTCCGACTTTTTTATCCAGAATCTGTTTTTTCAGATCCCAGTCACACTGACCCTAACACTACGGCCGTTCTTATTGCCTTTAAGCCACATGATTTAAGGTGGCTATTGGAACTGCTGACAGGTGGCAAAATAGTAAGTCGGCAAAATTGATCTGCCTTAAAATTACTTGTAGTTTTTTCCTTAAAAAAAAAAAAAAGTCACACTGTTCTGTTTTTTGTATTCTTTATTTTAGAACACTAATGGTTTTTGGAAGAAACCAGCCTTAAACCTGATCTATAAACCTTATCAAATCAGAATTTTAGACCCTTTCATTATCAGAATGGCAGCTTATGAACTGCTTCATTTTCCAAAAACGTTTCCCAAGAATCAGGTATGTATTTATCTTTGCCAGGTTTTCAAGTAAAGATCTAGCTGAGGCAGGAGAGTCCTTGGAACTCTCGAAACTATGAGAACTACTGCTCAGGACGTGGCTGCTCAGGACCACATCCGAGTTGGTAAAATTTGGTATCTGTGGATATTATCGTTATGGTTTCCAGATTGTAAGGAAAAGAACCTTAAGTGGAGGACTTTTTCTCTGCCCTTGCAGGGTCCTCCTGAGGTCTCTTTCTACACGTCCAAAAAGCTCTTCTCTCATAAGCTCATCTTGAGCATTCTGCAGTCAGGAGAGTCTGACTGGGAGAGCTGACTGGCACGTGTGGGCTCCGAGTAGCAGGATGGCCTTCAGTCTGAGTGCCTGCCTGGCTTTCCAGACTAGAAAGAACCGCCTGAAGCAGTCTCATAAATTTATCAGGAGACAGCCAGAGGAAAGAGAATTAGGACAATAGGGAGTGAAGAGAGATTTCTGTGGTCATAGAATACCTGCCAGTACCAGATTCTCAAGGAGTGATATTTATAGCAATAGAGATTGTTCTTGAAACTCCACGGATTATTTAATGAAAAGAAACTTCATTGACTTTGATGCATGCAGCCTTGTTTATCTATATTTCCTGGAAGACAGTACTTCGCTAGACTTATAATATACAGTGGCAGAGAGATGTTTTTCGTCTGCAGCTTGAGTAACTTTCAAAATATAATACTTCAAAAAAAATATAATACTTCAACCAAAATGAGGTTTCCCCTCTTTGTAAAGCAGGGGAAATTCAAAGACATAAATATGCACTGTGCATATTTTCTTTAGCATGATAAAATTATGTGTAAATTTTAAAACACTACATGTTTAAAATCAAAGAATGTAAAAAAGTGATCTTTCTTTTCTTCCTCTCTATAACCTATATTTCCCAAGATTTTTCACGTTTCATGTGCTTCTGGACTACTTCCTGTACATTTGCAAACACACATGCATACCTTGTTTGTTCAGTTTATTTATATTATAGGTTTTCTGCTATTTTATTTTTTCTTGTTTTACTATTCCATTAGACATTTAGGTTTATTCAACTTTTGCTCTATAAGTCATGTAGCAGTATATGTGCTTATGAAGTTTTCTGTACACTTGTATGATGTCTATAGGCTAGAGTTCTGAGAGTAGAATCCTCAAGTTAAAAAAGCACATATATGCTAACCTTAAACCCAATTTCAAAGTAATTTTGAGGGCAAAGGGTTACATCTGTATATGTTTTGTGACTTTTCAACTCCTATTTTCCTAAGTTAGGAAAGGTTAGGTATGATCAGAGGTATATCCCTTGCCTTTTTTTCTTTTTTAGGTAATGTCCTTAACTTCACGGGCATAGGATGATTGTTATCATACTTAGAGATGATACTAGAGTCAGTTGTAACAGTAATAAAGTCCCAGTAGGACACGGTGGCCCAAAAGCAAACGAGGAAACTTATTGTATTTCAAGAGGGAGGTTGGCCATGTCAGATGCTGTCCAGAGGTTGAATAAAAATAATAAACCCTGAGTTTGGAAGCATGGTAATATTGTCAAGAAAGAGGAAGAAAGCCTGCTTTGATTACAGAGAGCACAAGACATGAACCAGCAGAGACAAATCTTTAATGGAGTTTCATTAGAAGAGGGAATCAGAGAAATGTAGCAATAGTTGGAAGATAATGTTGGATCAAGGAAGTTTGTATCTTTTTAAAAAAATAAAAGTTTATTCACTTATTTCTTGCATGAGTGAAACAAGTGCAGAGAGACAGACACAGAGAGCAGAACCCACAACAGGGTTCCCGTGCTACAATCTACCCCCAGCTCCAGTAAGGCCCTGGATCATGGGCACATACTCACTGTGTTCAGGGAGGTCTGTGGATGCAAACCTGGAACGTTGTCAGGTAGATCAGCCTTGCAGAGCATTGCATTGCCACTGTGCTGTCTGGCCACCTTGTTTTTTGTTTGTTTTTACTTAAAGATAGACATGTTTATATGCTGAAGAGACTGATTCAGTAGGGGAAAATGTTGATGAGGAGAGACAGTGGGTGAGTGTAGAGAAAGATGCTGAAAAGAAAGATGGAATAAAATACAGTACACTAGTGAAGGGGTTAGTGTAGGAATGAACAAGGCATCTCACCCATTGCAAGTAGAGCGAACATTGAAAATAAGAGTCAAGTGCAGCTAAGAGGTAGATTTGGAGTAGGAAAGATGATGTAGCCCTCACTTGACTGCTTCCATCTTCTCAGAACATTGTCTATTTGAAGAGGGAAAGACACTAGGCCTCTTGAAGGAGAACAAGTTATAGGACTAGATCTATTGAAATTGCTGGCTTCCCCCTGGGGACTTTGATCAGAGAGTCAGTGTGCAATCAGGCAAGCATAATTTTCTCATTTTATTCTGCTGCTTGGGTATGGGTACAGTGACAGAGAATTAGGTTTCATCAGGGTCAGGGTCTGAGGTGACAGTAGACTCTGCAGGTGACAGGAGTAGAAGAGTCGAAGGTCTACTTAAAGGAATACTTACAATCATGGATGAAAGACTCTAAGATGTGAAGAAAGGAAGTAGAGGACATGAAATGAGGGACTGAAAAGAAAAAAGTGATGAGATCAATGAGGATGAATCAGTCCTGGATTTTTATCTCAACCACTAACTTCCTTCTCTAGTTAGATGGCAAAGGCTTGTGGTAAAGTCACAAGTGTATCCATTAATTTTATGCTAAAGGCTGATTAGGTTTTCAGATAAGCTTGCTGCCTAGCATTCATTTGCATTGGTTATTAAATCTATTTTCTATTAACATACCATAGCTGACACATTTGAGGGGTACAAGTGGCTTTTCAGTATGAGAGTCACTACAATGTGTAGTATTTAAATGGGGCAATTACTAGACCCATCATCTCAACCATCTGTCGTTACTTTGTCTTGGAAACATTGACATCCTTTCAGTTAGAATTCATTTGATTTTATTGTGTCTTTTTTCCTTTTCTTCAAAATCATAATTAATCATATGTAATTCTCATGGGATCTGTAAGAAACACTTAACTGAAGGTCTTACTGAATTCCTGTATACAAAGCTTGCGATATATCAGTAGCTCTTTATTTGTATTTAAGGCCACCCAGTGAGAATTAAAACTTGAATGCCAAGATCCTCCGATCAAGTATCTATCACACTGTTTTTCAGGAATATGCAAATGAAGGGAAAAGGGGATGCTTGGTTTCTTTTTCTGTTTTTGATAGTGATCCAGTTGAAATTGGATATTGTTATTATGTATCTGGAATCTTTATCTTCCAGTCAGATGGTTCTTTCTTTCTTTCTTTTTAAAAAACACTTGCCATAGGGTACGTACACTCACCGAGAGAGACAGAGAAAGTGAGAAAGCAACTCCCCTCCCCAGGTGTGGGACGCCATGCCACAGTCCTTTCTCCTCCATCCTTCTCTTGGGATTTTGGGCATGCATGCACATGCACCCAGTGTGTTTTTAGGCTGCCATTCAAGACTTGAACCACACAGCCAGTCATGTAGAATTCAGCTGCCTTAACCATCACACCACCTGACTGGTCCCAAGAGGCCCCTTATGATTTCTCACTGAAGTTGCTTGATTAGAGCTAAATTAAATGATCAGAAGTATAAAATATAGCTGTTTTATAAAATTGCCATGCCATGGGACGTGTGCTAAGGAGATGGAAGAACGAATGAAACCTCCAATGGTTGTGGTCACAATGTGATTCTTTCTGCATTTCTCCATCCTGCCAGGATTCTGGGTGAACACACACACACACACACACACACACACACACTCACACACGCCTGGTATGTTTTTTAAGCCATGAGGGCTGGGTTTTGAACTGCTGTCAGCTATGTGGGATCCAGTTCCTTTAATCATTAGGTTAAGGGGTAACCCCCAAATAATAGCAACTTTAAAGCTAATTTATATGAAGACTTTTGTCATGATTATATCATGTTCTTAACTTTTCAAACATACATTTAAAATCCACAGGCTTTTTTTTCTATGAAATTTGACTCATTTTTGTTTCTTAAACAATGTAGTCTTCCTGCTTCACAGTATTCCTTCATTTGATGGTTTTTCACTGGGCTAATACTATAGGTAAGTTTTATTTGAAAGACTTTCTAAAATTTCAGTCATAGATTATATATTCTGTTCAGAGTCGGAGTATATATGTATACTGTTTAGGGCTTGAGCCTTATGATACCATGAGGGTCTGGGGCTGGCAAGTGGCATGGTGGTTAAAGGTGCTGGACTCCCACATGGCCAACCATGGTTCAAGTCTCGGACCTGGTGGCTTGCTTTCTTACTTCCTCTCTCTCTCTCTCTCTCTCTGTCTCTCTCTGATCAAACTGGAAAATAATAATGATAATAATAATAAATAAAGTTAAAATAAATTTTTTTAAAAAGATACCATGAGGGTTTAATGAACTATTTCTCTCCTAATACTCATAAATCTGTTTCATAAAATTAGGGCAACCAAATATGCTTTAAAAGCAAGTAACTCATCTGGGTTTTAAAAACATTATTTCCCTTCCCTCCAGAAACCCAAACACCCAACCACGGGAATTATTGCTATCACACTGGCATTTCACATATGTCATGAAGTTCACCTAGCTGGTTTTAAATACAACTTTTCTGACCTCAAGAGTCCTTTGCACTACTATGGAAATGCCACCATGTCTTTGATGAATGAGGTAAGAGTCACGTAGGTATCATCTTTGGGAAAAACCACGTTTTCCTTTACCCTTTCCTTTTACTGAGGAAACAGGTTTTGAGGGTTTGTGGACCTGATAGGGGTTCAGAGATACCAAGGACTGGAACTAGGACTCAGATTCTGAGGTCATCTTACCACAGCAACAGTTCCCAATGTGTGAACCTCAGAATCTTGCAGCATGTCAGGAGTCATCCAACCAGTACATATTGGGACCAAGACTTACTTTTGATGCTGTGTCATAGTCACAGTATCTCAGCCAACCAGTCTGTGTTTGAAATATTAAAAATTCACCTAAAAGCGTTGCCGTGCTCATGGTAATTACTGTCTTTTTAAACATTTTTTCTTTCTGTTCAGTAGACAAGATGGTTAAGAACATTTTAATCCTGTCAGAGTCGTGGTCAGGAAGTTTGCAAACCTTTATACTAGGTCATGCTTCTTTCAAATAGGGATCAATAGTGGTGGATTTGATCCTGAGGAAGTTGCCTTTTTTTTTTTTTTTTTGGTCTCTAGACTAAGTCTCTTATGTGATAGTTGAGGTGGAAAGAACAAGCCAGGAAAAGCATTTGAGCTTTGTATGCAGAACCTTTTAGATACAGAATATTCTATTGCTGCTGCTCTTCATATTGAGATTGGAACAGATGGTAATTTTCCTTTTTTTTTTTTAAAGAGTGCATATCACAATGTGTCTGCAGAGCAGCTCTTTTTGAAGGACATTATGGAAAAAAACTTTGTAGTCAACTTGACCGAAGATTGACCTTACAGAATCAGAAGATGATGCTAACAGTGTTAGTTTTATTTTTATACTGCAATTTTTAGTTTATTTTTAAATATGTTGGATGCACTTGTCGAATAATTATGTATATTGTCTGTTGCTGCCTGGTGAGTCATAACCACCAGCTTAATGTCTGTGAATATATTTAATTTATGGAAACTAAGAAATGTTTAAATATCAGGGAAATAAGTCTTGATTGTATTATTTTAAAAGTAAGCTGATTTTCTGAGGTGTTTTTATACATCTTTTTATATTTAGTTCACCTTGGGCTTCTGAAGGTATGTGACTTCCTAATAATTAAGGGGATGTAGTTTACCACAAATATTTTTGCTATCATGTGACATTTTGAGAGGAGTATGTGATTCCTGAAAATCTTGCTAGGGGGTGGGGGGTGGGGGATGGCCTGTGATTGTGCCTCGATGTAGCAAACTGGAACTATTTGGCAATGGAGACCTAAGTTTCTTTCACCCTGTAATTCATAAAAAGCATGACTATGATGAATAATTTGGTAGAACAAAGATGACCTTTTCAGTTAAAAGAATTACACTAAACATAACATTCTGGATGAATAAAGAATTCAGTGACTAAGGTCTAGTAGCCTTGCATTTCTTTAAAGAAGGAAAGAAGTTTAGGGCCAGCTCTGTAGCCTGATGGTTAAGGAGGCTGGACCCCATATGGCTGGCGTTGCAGTTCAAGTCTCAGACCCAGTGATTTGAGAAACACATCCGATGCTTGTGTGTGTGTGTCTGCTCAACACCCGAAAAGGAGGGAGAGATGGAGGAAGCTTGCAGTGTGACCCTTCTCCACTGGAGGTGCTTTCTCCTCTCCATCTCTCTGGTGAGTACATGCACCCTCTTGCTCCCCCGAAAAAAGTTTATACAAATATAAGCTAGGTAAGCTCAAGAAGGGGAAAATTATTTTCTTTTTGTGAGATTTTTGCTATAGGGCTCATGAGCTTGCCAGATAGGCAGAAAGACAGAAAGTGAGAAATCACCCCCCGGGGGGGATGGCCAGGACACAGGGTTCTCCTCCATGCTCCTCTTGGGATTTTGGGCATGCATGCACATGTGCCTGGAGTGAGTTTTAAGCAGCCAAGTCCAGGATGTGAACTGCAGTTGACTACATGGGAGTCCAACATCGTAACTGCTAGGCCATCTGCTGGTTCCAGGAGAAAATTCTTAAACATTAGTTTGGGGCTGACTTAATTTGTTCTTTAAATTTTTCACATTTTCTGTTTGATGAAATTAGAGCTGTAAGAAGAAAATAGATGAGTAATGCTCAAGAAGAGCCAAGTGGCCCAGAGCCAGCAGCAGGCTGCACACTGCTGCCGGACAAGCTGAGGCCACACCAAAGGCCCAGTGGAGTCTGGGCTCTTTTTTTTTTTTTTTTAAATATTAATTTTATTTATTCATTCTTTTTTTTTTTAATTTTTTTTAATTTGACCAGAGACAGACAGAAAGTGAGTAAGCAAGCCACCAGGTCCGAGACTTGAACTGTGTGGTTGGCCATGTGGGAGTGTCCAGCACCTTAACCACAATGCCACCTGCTGGTCCCAAGCCAAGCTCTTTTTAAAAAAATTATATTGGTATTTGCATTAAAAAGTGTCAATTTTTTCCCCTAGTAGGGTGCATGTGCTTGCTGGAGACAGAGAGAGGAAAAGATAGCAACCCTGGGGATGGGGGGATGCCTATACCACAGTCCTTTCTCTTCCACTCTCCTTTGGGATTTTGAGCATGTCTGTTACATTTTTTAGTCCCCTAGGTCTGCGACTCAAACTACACAGCCAGCCATGTGAGATCTAGCCACCTTAGCCACCAAGCCACCAGCTGGCCCCTCGGACCTCAGTTTTTCATGTGATTCAATCTCATCTCCAAAGGGAAAGCTTGCCTGGCTAATTAGAGCACACCAGAGAAGAATCCAATCAGTTGCAAATAAGACAGTTCTACAAACGTGATGTGCTACTTTCCCTTCTCAAATTTTAAAATATTATCAAAGGCTATGTGGGGGGTAGGGGAAAAAAGGTGGAGGCGTAAGTAAAGAATAGAATTAAAGGCTGTCAGAAGAGGTCTTGAGTTGAAATAACTAGCTTTTAAACAGTAAATACTGTGTTCTTGGAAAGGTCCTGTGTATTTTTCTCTGTGTTTCTATGCAAAAAATGCATCATGGCTTTTCAGACAACTCAATATTACTCGCAACATTAGTGTTGACAACCACCTGCCTCCCGAAAGAGAGTGTATGAGGGGTGAAATATTAGAGCATGGTCAGGGCAGGAATAAACCACTGTTTAATGGGGAGAAAAGTAGTAGCTGATTGAATGAAGGAGACATTCTCACACGGCCTAAATATTGTAGAACCAGCAGTATGTGTGCACAGCCCAACAGTCCTTTTTGATTTTTCTAATAACTCTGAAGTGGAAAAGCAGGTAATTCACATGTGCTTAGTGTGATCTTTCCCTTAGACCACAAAGCCAGGGTGACTGCCTCTGTTTTAAGGCCAAAAGGATAGGGTGGCCATGGACACAGTTAAAAACCACAAAGACAACAGTGGCATTTTGAAGGGCTGCTGTACACATTGCAACACTGGCCACCACACTTCTGGCAATGTAAAGTTGAGGACTCTAGTATAAGAAAAAGCTACAAACCTGAAGGTTGTTTTATTTAAGCCAAATAATCTGAGCAAGACACATATATACAATTTATTAAAAACACATGAACACATTAAAATTCACTATTTATACATTCTAAATTCTAGCAACATATACAAATACTGAGTGACTACAGTACATGCCGAGGTAAGAAAAGTACATTCGGGGAAAATATCACTGACGCTCAAGCCATGTTTATTTCCAATACGTATTTCAACATGTTTCGTTTCTACCTTTCCCAGTGCCAAATGAAGGGGAAGACACTAGTGAGAAGCTAGATTACATGAGAACTGATGCCACGGTTGACCTAAAAGTATTTTAGAAATCATCCAATTCTTAGATTTTGCAGTTTAGGGACTTCAAGTTCAGGATCTACTAAATAACTTAACTGTTGTTCGGTAAGAGTTTGACTTCTCTCCTGAAGAGGGCTTGAAACGCCTTTCAACTGTCCCACGCCATTTCCCATCACTCTGTCATCTGACATGGTCTTTCTCCCTGCTGTAGCCCTTCTGCTCTCTATGTGACTGTCTAGACAGGGCAAAGAGTTCCAGCTTGACCACTTCCCACAGCTCGGCGGCCACATTCATATTTTAGATTCTGCTTCCCCCTCCTGGGGCAGGGAAGTGGGGGAGGGGAGAGGCAAGTGAGTACCTACCGTGCTAGTTTTTAATTCCTGTTGAAGTTCTCTACGGAGCCATATAAACCCATTGTTCAATGCAAAGTGCAAACAGTGAAACGTGAACTTAAATAACCGAACTAGATCTGGCATATACAACAGGATCTATTTTGATTTACAGCATTTAATAAAATACAAGTCAGAACACACAATATCTCCTCTTTACCTTCTTAGGATCAAGTAACTGCCAATTCAGTGTAATTTTATAAAACCTGTTGATGGTCACACTTGTTGCATCACTGTTTGATTTCTATAATGTATTAACAGAGAAAAATTTAATCTCATAAACCACAGCAACGTAAGTCTTCAATGTTTCAAGTAAAGAAGAAAGATTCAAGGGAATTTTGTCAAAACTGGTCACTTTCACATTTTCAGTTCTTACTTGATTGTCTCCAAAGTTGTATATGTATCAAACATACGAATGTAGTAAAACACCAAAACCCTTCTAATGGGAACATAAAGGAACTAAGAGAAAAAGTACAAAACCAGAAAAACTGTTTGAATCAGGCTCAGCTTTTCATCTGGAAAATAAAATATACAAAAGCAGTAAAAAGTATATATTTTATAAAAACCATTTGTAGTTCAAGGACAGCACAGTGGCGATACGAATCAAGTCTTAAAAAACACTTGCCTCTCCAAAAGAAAGAAAGAAAGAAGAAATAGCTATAGGGAACGACAATCAGGACGCACAGTTACACAAGAAACAGCAAGCTTCTTTGGGAAGATGAAATCGTGATTGAAAACATCTCTCTTAAAGCTTCATATAGGTATATGACGTGAGGAAAAAGTATATTCTTTGTGTACTGAGGAGGAATAAAAATAAGATAACTGGTTTACTCTTTTCCCACCTGAAAGGGGATGCCTACAGTAATACATGTGCTTTACATATTCATACATGTTTTAATAACAGCTCAACATCTGTGCTTTTTGTTTCAAATATCTTGAAACAAAATGTGTATTGATTTTCATGAAATGGTGCCTCCAAGATTGGAAAAGGAAAGCAAATGGAAAAAAGCAACCAAACCATACAGAGAGAAGGCAGGAAGGCTGCAGAAATGAGCAGTACTTTCTGAAGTGACGTTCTAGAATACTGATGGAGTTGTGGAAATGAGCCACATGGACACGGCTCATCTTTCCTCAAACTTCCTGAACACTGGTGACAATATCATCTAGAGGCGCAGGCCAACAAATGACTAGAACCTGGTGAGAAAATACATTTTAGTATTATGTCTACAAACTAAGGTTGACGGACATGGGAATGTCAAATGACGGTGAGCTGCTCATGTCATCTTACCAGCCTGAAGACTTTGAAAGCTGGTTTTTGTACTATGGGCTAATAAATTACAGACGGCTTCTATACCACCCTGTTAAAATGAGTTCTGGGCAGGTCATGAACAAGTACCTACGAAGCAGCTTCCAAGAGAGAGCGAAAACCAGGCCCGAAAACTCATCTGTCAGGGAGCAGATGCCCAGCTATGATCTAAAAGGACTCCTCATGCCTTGGACCACGCACAGGAAGGGCGCAATCACACCACACTGAAGGGTACATGCTGGCTTTAGAGTTCTTGCACTAGTTCACTGTGAAAACAAAAACTATTTTATTTGACTAAAATAAATAAAATACTCTGAGACTCGATAAAAATTTGTATGTGTATGTATAAAACCAGAGAGGATGAATTTTGGTTCTTTTTTTGTTTGCTTTCTAAGGCTAGGACTTCTGAATGCCTGATTTTGCAGGATTTTTGCCTTGCTCTGTGATAAATACAAGTAGGCCACATTTACAGCATTCACTTAGAAATCCTCAACTTTCACAACACTCCTAGAAAAAGATCTCTCTGCGAATAAAGTTGGAGTGGGTCGAGCATCTCCTTTACAGCTTCTCTAAATTGTTGAAGTTGTTCTGTTTCCACGCAGTAAAGACACTTTCATGAGACTGACAAAGCCAGCATCACTCATATTGAAAAAGACTCATATTGAAAAGATATTTCATAAACACGACTGGGGCTCGCCACCAGGGGCCCTGGGCGGAACCAGCAGGGATGACACCAGGTCACGTACCGTGTAGTGTTAAAGCTCTTATGTGTCAAAAAGTGAAAAATCAAGCACCTTGCTTGCTCATTACAAGTCAGAGTTTCTTGACTACAGATCTTCCTAAAGAAAGACAGGTAAGTGTGTATATGGCTGTATTCAAAACAGTGCTTATCTCACTAATTCTTTTCAATCAAACAGTCCAGAAGGCAAAGAATACGAGAGGAGGGACTCGTGATAGTACCCGCCTTTTACAAAGAGAGTAGAATTTCAAGCCATTAGAGATTTCAAGAACAGTACCATGCGTTATTGCCAGTCAGGCTTACAGAGCCATCTCTTGAGTTCGTTAATGTACCTGCAGCATTGGTAATAAATACTCTCAGTGATTTTTAAAATTTCTTTGAAGTGCATAATAGGGAGCTTTTTCTGTATTAAAAATAGTGTTTTACAGTAGTAACAAACAGGATGTTCGAAATTTAACAGGCAAGCATAACTGTGCCACAGTAACACCTTCAAAGCAAGATGGTAAGAGTAGTAGTTTCCTCTACCTCGGTCACCACATTTTCCCAACCACTTCAGTGACAGATATGTAATACATTCTATATATTACTACCGCTAATACTTAAAAGGCCATGTGCTTTAAAACGATGCTTTGTAAAAAGCAGCATCACCTTCAAAGGATTTCTTTAAAAACATCAGCTTCTCCCTCCCGGCCTGCACCTGACATTTCCTGCACGCTCTGCGGCACCTGGTACAATTCATCTGGGGCAGCTGGACCTGGCTTCCCACCTTTGGGGGTGTCATACTGGGCTCGGGCTGAGGAGCAGCTGTCAGTCCTGGAGAGAACTGTATTGTAAGTCCCCACTACAGATGGCGGTTGGTTCCCTGGAGCTTTGAAGGTGGATGTGGAGGGCAGCCCAACGGAAGCTGCGGGGTGCCCCGACATGTCCATGATGATGGGGGTTGCATACTCGGGCCCAGTGATCGGGAGTGGTTCAGCGTAGGCATGGTAGACTTCCTGCACCGGTGAGCTGTAAGGATCAAGGTCTGCATAGCCTGCTTCTTTTCCTTCTTCCGGTTTAAAGGTAGATCTCTGATGAAGTGTGCCAACAATTCCTCCCACAAGCGGCTGCGCATACTCTGGGTATCACAGAACACAACGGGGAAGTTATTTGTTGTATTAATCCAGGGGTTATGTAGCTGAAGGGGGCAGCTGCAGCCTACACCAGAAGCAGACACTTCTTTATGGCCTTTGTGTCACTGTCAACACAGACCTGCGGATTTCCCACCAGTAAGAACCAACTTCAAAAATTAAAGTTGTTACCTAGTATCTCATGGTACTAAGTTGATGTCAGGAAGCTTAATTTATGTAATTTTACATAACGTGTTCATATTTGCACTTCAGATTTACAGACAGCATGTCATTGGAAAAGTTCCATTACTGGAATTTTAGTCTTGAGAAGTAATTTCTGAAATAATTTTCTAATATTCAGCACTGTTCAAAATGATTATGTACCAAGTTAGCAGGATAAATACTCTAAGGGTCGTTTTTCCTCCCTTCTTTAATACCCTTGTACACAAAATAAAAAACACCCCAGAATACCAGGTTAAGAGAATGTCTAGAATCTTTAGAAATGAGTAAGCCCCCATTTTACTGATAAAACATTTAAAACACAGAAATGACTCTTAAGGCCAGCTTTTTAAAAAAAAGTGGTTCTACCTTGAGAAAGTCGTCTCTCTCTCACACTAGAAAAGGTCAGAGAGATTATAAATTGTTTAACATCACCAAGAACTTCACAGACCCCACACACAGTCTCCCCGGAGCTGGTTCCTGAATGCCCAGACTACCTGCGGAGTCTGTCTGAAGCACTGTGGTGACCTCTCTCGGGCTCAGGTGATTCACTTCACTACTGCTGTAGCGAACCGGGGTTTCCTCGTGTTCCAATGACTTGGCAGGGAGAAACTGCTTCATTCCTTTCCACCAACCTTCATGGCGATTGTAAGTTAGAGAGACCATTAAATAGAAACCTATGTCTCAAATGATAACGGTAAGGGAGAGATTCTGGTGCAGTTAAGCCACTTCTATAATAAATATCTAAACAAACATTTTCATATTCAGACATGTTTTCTGCTTTGATAGAAGAGTATCCAGTGCAAAGCAGAACATGGCAGAAATCTCTATCAAAAGCATATTCAGAAGCTAATCACTGGCATTAGACTGTGGCCAAATAAAGTGTTTATTGCAGTAGTAGTTTCTAACAAGTTTCCCTCAAAATACTTTTTTGGAGAGGTTTTTGCTATAGGGTGCATGCACTCAGCAGAAAGAGAGAGAGAGAAAGTGAGAAATCACTCCCCAGAGGGGATGGCCACACTGCAATCCCTTCTCCATTCTCCCCTTGGGATCTTGGGCACACACACACATGCCCAGCGTGAGTTTAAGCCACCGGGCCCGGGACTCGAACCATGGTTGACTACGTGGGAGTCCAGCAACATAGCCATTACGCCAACTGCCGGTCCCAAAAAAGACCCCCCTGGGGCACTGGGGCACAGGGACACAGCAGTGAACTCTCTTGGCTTCTAACAGTTTTCTAGGTATGAAACTGGGAAGTGGGAGACCACAGGAGCCTCTGGCATCGCTTGTGGTGATTTGGAAGATGAAGCTGCATCACAGCAGAGCAGGCAGACCTCACAGATTGCTCAGCTGCCGGGCCCCACTGGGGACACAGCCAGGACAGTGGGACCAACACACTGCGCCATCCAGACCACCATCCTGTGTTTCTACTCAGTGATCAGACGAGCCATACAAAAAGCTGGTCTCTTCTGAAGAAACAGATAGGTCAGGCCAGATAAGGTTTCCAGAAGAAAAAGAATAGTGTGTTATAAGAAATGTGTACTTTCCCATTTATTACTAATTAGAAGGTTTTTTGCTGGAGGGTTAAAATGGTGAGAAAAGAAGAATGCCACTTTTCCAACAGTGTCGTAGAATTCAAATGAGCCCAAGAAGGGCTTTTTACTTTCACTCTTGCTATCTCTAGGGGAGGAAAAAAGAGATGCCAAGTCCACATGAGTTACCTGCCCGATCCCAGTAAGGTAAGTCGTAGGTACCTTCAGTTTTTTTCCTTCTGAAAAGACACAGGGAAAAAAAAAAAAAAGTTAGCAAATAGAGCGAATTCGCCGGTAAGAAATATCTGCAACTACAGAATAAACACCAAAGTTAATAATTAGTCAAGAGTACACATTTCCACCTGCCGGTCTACCCAGGGTGCCTCTTTTTCATCTAACTTGCAAAGTTGCTACTGCTAAGACTTGTTAAATTATGGACTCTCAGTAAATTAAACAACTATCTTCTGAGACAGGTACCCTGTTAGCCACCTATTACCCACTCAGAATGAAGAAAGGAAATTAGAAAGGCCAGGAACATAGATGAGAAGCCTGATGGAATCCAAGGCTCAGCTCTGACATAGGGGCAAATCATATTAGGTCTGTTTTGGTTTCAAATGCAAATTTCATGATTCAATTAATTCACAAAATTCAGAGAACTAAAAAAAAATAAATAAATAAAATCTGGTTTTCTATTGGGAATTGCTCTTTTTGCCAGTGTCATGTTTTTCTCCTATGGTCCTTTGCCCAATAGAAGTTTGTCATAAACCCTTGCTTACAAAGACTTGACTCTCCCAACCACCTCTTAAGTCAACGCTATCATCAATACTGACCTGTCCTCCTAAAACTTCCCTTCCCCTCTGTTAAAAATTACTTTACTGGGACCAGCTGTTAGCGTAATGGCTATGTCACTGAACTCCCATGTAGTTGACCGCGGTTCGTGTCCCGGACTTGGTGGTTTAAACTCATGCCGGGCATGTGTGCGTGCGTGCCCAAGATCCCAAGAGAATAGAGGAGAAGGGATTGTGGCATGGCCACCCCTCCTGGGGGTGATTTCTCACTTTCTGTCGCTCTGTCTTTCTAGCAGTGCACGTGCCCTATAGCAAAAACTTCTCCAAAAAAAAAAAAAACAAAACCAAACAACTTTACCAAGTTAAAAACAAATGAAAGGATGGCTTCTTTCAGGAGTGTAAATCTATGTTAGTTAAAATTAGTGCTTTACAGGGCCAGCTGATGGCACAGGGGTTACATTGCAGGACTCCCTTGTGGCCAATCGCTGTTCGAGTCACAGAACCTGTGGCTTCAAAACTGATGCTGGGTGCATGTGCGTGTGTGTGCCCAAGATACTAGGAGAATGGGGAAAGAGACTGTGGCATGATCATCCCCCCAGGGAGCAATTTCTCACTTTCTGTCTCACTATCTCTGTCTCTCTCTCTCCAATGAGCATACACACCCCAAGGCAAAATTAGTGCTTTACAAGTTGAAGAGAAAGCAGAAATAATTCTAGTATGCAAATGAGGACAACATAGTTGTGTGATTTGCTCAAGATCACAAATACGGCTCAAGCCACATGCCTCTCTCCCTAGAGAACAACCTAGAAGACAATGTTTCTATTACTAATATTAGAAGCTTCTTCATTTTAACATCTGGCTGTATTAATATTATTTAATATTTCAAAGTAAAATATAAAGTTTGTGGAGGAGATGGGAGGTGCTGTTCATCAAAAACCTAAATGAAAGAAAAACATATTAAAATATGCTGGTTCATTTAACATTTTTCTTTCTGAAAATCTCTAATCATCATAAGATTTAATTTAAAAAATTCTTTTCTAAATGGACATTAACTGATTTACATGGCTAAGACAAAAATGTAATGGAATGAGTGTCAGTCAAAGGCTACGCTGCAAAGGGTTTCACATACTTCAAATTTTAAATGACAAAGCTTCAGGTTATTTACTCATTACATATCATATGTAGAACAGTGCTTCAGTAAGATGGAGCTGTTTAATGCCCAGACTACCTGCGGAGTCTGTCTGAAGCACTGTGGTGACCTCTCTCGGGCTCAGGTGATTCACTTCACTACTGCTGTAGCGAACCGGGGTTTCCTCGTGTTCCAATGACTTGGCAGGGAGAAACTGCTTCATTCCTTTCCACCAACCTTCATGGCGATTGTAAGTTAGAGAGACCATTAAATAGAAACCTATGTCTCAAATGATAACGGTAAGGGAGAGATTCTGGTGCAGTTAAGCCACTTCTATAATAAATATCTAAACAAACATTTTCATATTCAGACATGTTTTCTGCTTTGATAGAAGAGTATCCAGTGCAAAGCAGAACATGGCAGAAATCTCTATCAAAAGCATATTCAGAAGCTAATCACTGGCATTAGACTGTGGCCAAATAAAGTGTTTATTGCAGTAGTAGTTTCTAACAAGTTTCCCTCAAAATACTTTTTTGGAGAGGTTTTTGCTATAGGGTGCATGCACTCAGCAGAAAGAGAGAGAGAGAAAGTGAGAAATCACTCCCCAGAGGGGATGGCCACACTGCAATCCCTTCTCCATTCTCCCCTTGGGATCTTGGGCACACACACACATGCCCAGCGTGAGTTTAAGCCACCGGGCCCGGGACTCGAACCATGGTTGACTACGTGGGAGTCCAGCAACATAGCCATTACGCCAACTGCCGGTCCCAAAAAAGACCCCCCTGGGGCACTGGGGCACAGGGACACAGCAGTGAACTCTCTTGGCTTCTAACAGTTTTCTAGGTATGAAACTGGGAAGTGGGAGACCACAGGAGCCTCTGGCATCGCTTGTGGTGATTTGGAAGATGAAGCTGCATCACAGCAGAGCAGGCAGACCTCACAGATTGCTCAGCTGCCGGGCCCCACTGGGGACACAGCCAGGACAGTGGGACCAACACACTGCGCCATCCAGACCACCATCCTGTGTTTCTACTCAGTGATCAGAGGAGCCATACAAAAAGCTGGTCTCTTCTGAAGAAACAGATAGGTCAGGCCAGATAAGGTTTCCAGAAGAAAAAGAATAGTGTGTTATAAGAAATGTGTACTTTCCCATTTATTACTAATTAGAAGGTTTTTTGCTGGAGGGTTAAAATGGTGAGAAAAGAAGAATGCCACTTTTCCAACAGTGTCGTAGAATTCAAATGAGCCCAAGAAGGGCTTTTTACTTTCACTCTTGCTATCTCTAGGGGAGGAAAAAAGAGATGCCAAGTCCACATGAGTTACCTGCCCGATCCCAGTAAGGTAAGTCGTAGGTACCTTCAGTTTTTTTCTTTCTGAAAAGACACAGGGAAAAAAAAAAAAAAGTTAGCAAATAGAGCGAATTCGCCGGTAAGAAATATCTGCAACTACAGAATAAACACCAAAGTTAATAATTAGTCAAGAGTACACATTTCCACCTGCCGGTCTACCCAGGGTGCCTCTTTTTCATCTAACTTGCAAAGTTGCTACTGCTAAGACTTGTTAAATTATGGACTCTCAGTAAATTAAACAACTATCTTCTGAGACAGGTACCCTGTTAGCCACCTATTACCCACTCAGAATGAAGAAAGGAAATTAGAAAGGCCAGGAACATAGATGAGAAGCCTGATGGAATCCAAGGCTCAGCTCTGACATAGGGGCAAATCATATTAGGTCTGTTTTGGTTTCAAATGCAAATTTCATGATTCAATTAATTCACAAAATTCAGAGAACTAAAAAAAAATAAATAAATAAAATCTGGTTTTCTATTGGGAATTGCTCTTTTTGCCAGTGTCATGTTTTTCTCCTATGGTCCTTTGCCCAATAGAAGTTTGTCATAAACCCTTGCTTACAAAGACTTGACTCTCCCAACCACCTCTTAAGTCAACGCTATCATCAATACTGACCTGTCCTCCTAAAACTTCCCTTCCCCTCTGTTAAAAATTACTTTACTGGGACCAGCTGTTAGCGTAATGGCTATGTCACTGAACTCCCATGTAGTTGACCGCGGTTCGTGTCCCGGACTTGGTGGTTTAAACTCATGCCGGGCATGTGTGCGTGCGTGCCCAAGATCCCAAGAGAATAGAGGAGAAGGGATTGTGGCATGGCCACCCCTCCTGGGGGTGATTTCTCACTTTCTGTCTCTCTGTCTTTCTAGCAGTGCACGTGCCCTATAGCAAAAACTTCTCCAAAAAAAAAAAAAACAAAACCAAACAACTTTACCAAGTTAAAAACAAATGAAAGGATGGCTTCTTTCAGGAGTGTAAATCTATGTTAGTTAAAATTAGTGCTTTACAGGGCCAGCTGATGGCACAGGGGTTACATTGCAGGACTCCCTTGTGGCCAATCGCTGTTCGAGTCACAGAACCTGTGGCTTCAAAACTGATGCTGGGTGCATGTGCGTGTGTGTGCCCAAGATACTAGGAGAATGGGGAAAGAGACTGTGGCATGATCATCCCCCCAGGGAGCAATTTCTCACTTTCTGTCTCACTATCTCTGTCTCTCTCTCTCCAATGAGCATACACACCCCAAGGCAAAATTAGTGCTTTACAAGTTGAAGAGAAAGCAGAAATAATTCTAGTATGCAAATGAGGACAACATAGTTGTGTGATTTGCTCAAGATCACAAATACGGCTCAAGCCACATGCCTCTCTCCCTAGAGAACAACCTAGAAGACAATGTTTCTATTACTAATATTAGAAGCTTCTTCATTTTAACATCTGGCTGTATTAATATTATTTAATATTTCAAAGTAAAATATAAAGTTTGTGGAGGAGATGGGAGGTGCTGTTCATCAAAAACCTAAATGAAAGAAAAACATATTAAAATATGCTGGTTCATTTAACATTTTTCTTTCTGAAAATCTCTAATCATCATAAGATTTAATTTAAAAAATTCTTTTCTAAATGGACATTAACTGATTTACATGGCTAAGACAAAAATGTAATGGAATGAGTGTCAGTCAAAGGCTACGCTGCAAAGGGTTTCACATACTTCAAATTTTAAATGACAAAGCTTCAGGTTATTTACTCATTACATATCATATGTAGAACAGTGCTTCAGTAAGATGGAGCTGTTTTTATAATTATTTTCCTCCTGATTTCCATAGACCCTTGATAGCATCTGGTCCTTTTCACCTTGTCATTTGAGCTGCAGTAATTTCAGTTGTCCAGATCAGACCTTCTGGCCTGAAACAGCATATATGCCAACTGCCTCTTAGGAGTCTAAATGTACAAAGGGTCCTTTGAACAGTGTCCCAGATGAATCAGAGGACCCGATTCCTGTCTCCCTCTCAACAACCCTGCTACCCAGTCCTCACCTCCGTCCTTCTGCTTTAACCACAGTGGATGATACTCATTAGGTGGTTATTATATGGAAGTTCAGAGGCAGCAGTGGATAAGAGCATGAATCAGAAAGCCTGGTCCAAAACTCCACCTTGCCATGAACTGCGGGGTGATCTTGGGTGAGTTATTTATGTTATGTCTCACCATTTTCTTCCATAAAATGGAGTTTGTTGCTTCATAGGTTGTTCTAAGGATTAAATGGGTTAACACATGTATTTAAAGTATTGGGTTATCGGAAAACTCACGATGCATTTTTCTGCATAGAAAAATATGTCATGGCTTTTCCAACGACCTAGTAATAACTCAGGATAAAGCATTTAGAATAAAGCCTGAAATTAGCATTTAGTTTTCTATCAAAATGAGCTGCTGTTGGCTTCTGCTGTTCAGTTTGCTAAATGTACCATGCACTCTTTTCTCTGGACTTTCCTCCTCTTTTACCTATTGCCCTCACACCTACTCCTTTGTTCTCTGCTCAGAGCCTCTTAACACCATGAATGTGGAATCCATCTGCCCCCAGCTTCCTCTGGGCACAGGTTCCAAGGTTGGTGCCATGGCTGACACCTCCTGCATGGTATCTCCCCTGGTGAGCTGTGGGAATCGTCCCTGGACTCCCCAGCACATGGCTCACTATTTGGCACAGGTAGAGCCAAGTTTTCAAATACATACTTGTTGAGTGACTGAATAAATGAAGTCATTCTCTTTCTCCACTAAACCTGTCCCTCCTGCCCTTTAATTTCAATTCATAACATCCCCAAAGGCATAACTACACAACCCGAAACTTCGGCTCAGCCTTGACCCCTCCTCTTCCTTCCTTAGTGAGGACTAGTCATGCATACTGTCAATGTCATGGTGAAACATCTCTGCTCTCCTCTAGAACAGCTGGGTCATGTTCCTGCCTGGCTTTAGCACTTTTCCAGCTCACCTTGCTGCCTCTTCCAATCTCTCTCCTCTTTAATACACCCTTACACATTCCCGCCACTAGCTTTACACAATGATCTGATGACAAATCCCCTCCATCTATTGAATAAATCTGAATTTCCCTCGAGAGAACTCCTAAAGAGCACTTCTTGGTCCAGGCCCAGACTACATTTTCCTTTTGTAAAGAGATTTTTGCTATAGGGTGTATGGGCTCGCTGGAGAGGCAGAAAGCGAGAATTACCTTCCATGGGGGTGTGTGTGAGTGACCAGGCTGTAATCCCGTCTCCATTCTCCTCTTGAGATTTTGGGCACACATGCACACATGGTCCAGTGTGTTTCAAGTCACTGGGCCCAGGACTCGGACTGCAGTTGGCCACATGGGAGTCCAGCACCTTAACTACTATGCCATCTGGTCCCTAGAATGCATTTCTATGGTTTCCTCTCAGAATTCTCCCAGGCCACGCCCACTGACTATTTTGCCTACTTTCCCAATCTCTGTGCCTTCACTTAAGCACTTTCCTCAGATTAAAAATGGTCTAAATGTTTGTGTCTCTCCCTGAATTCATGAGAGACTGAAATCCTAACTTCCAAGGTGATGGTATTAGGAGGTAGGGCCTTTGGGAGATGATGACACCACAAAGGTCGAGACCTCATGGATAGGACTCATGTCCTTCCTTAAGAGATCTGAAGGAGCTTGTTTGCCCTTTCCACCACAGAGGACAGAGCAAGAGGCACAGCCTGCTAACCAGAAGGCGGGCCCTCGCTAGACTGGAATCTGCCAGTGTTTCCATCTTGGACTCTGCAGCCCCTGGAACTGCAAGGAATACATTTCTGTTGTAGATAGATCACTCACTTGATGGTATTCTTTAAATAGCAGCCGAACAGAAAAATAAGACATTCACCTTCCTCTATCTAGCCAACTTCAACTCTTTTTTTTGTTGTTGTTGTTGGAGAAGTTTTTGCTATAGGGCGCCTGCGCTTGCCAGACAGACACGAGAGACAGAAAGCGAGAAATCACCCCCCAGTGGGGATGGCCATGCCGCAATCCCTTCTCCTCCTTTCTCCTCTCGGGATCTTGGGCACGCATGCACACGCGCACACGCGCCTGGCGTGAGTTTTAAGCCACCGGGTCCAGGACGCAAACCGCTGTCGACCACGTGGGAGTCCAACGATATAGCCATTACGCTAACTGCTGGTCCTGTCAACTCTTTTAAGGTGAAATGGTCCGAACTTGAGGACTCCCCTTTCCCCTTAAAGAGAAACTTCAGATAAATTGCACGGTTCTTTCCAGCACTTCATAAGTAACTCATCAATCCATGTGATAGTTCTTTATTTTGTATCAGTCAACCCTGCCAATCATTTTAGAGAAAATAATTGTATCTTCTACTTTCAGCAAATACTAATAAGTAGTTATTATATACCAGGCATTATTCTTTATTCCCCCCAGACATTACTCTTATTAATTTACATATACCAGTGAATAACACAGGACTTGGACAGTCAAGGTACTCAGTAACTGGCTACGGGATTGAGCTTACTCACTTTTAATGGGACTAATGGAGAAACATGAGATTGGGACTATAATGATGACCTGAATTTCAAAGGTGTGAACTGTATGCGATTCCTCTCCTATATGTAAGCTTCTATTCCACACTGTGACCCTGGAACACCCCAGGACAGTCGGGGGAACTGTATGTGATTCCTCTCCTGTATGGAAGCTTCTATTCCACGTTGGGTGACCTGGAACACCCTGAGGGCAGTCGGGTGAACTGGCGATGTACTCACCTGTTTCTCCAGTGCCACGCACACACTAAAACGAGAATGAGGGTGGTGAGGACCATGACAAGCACAGGGACGAGGACTGCAGCCAATGCCACATCTGAAGTCAGATAAACAAACAAACAATTAACCCCTAGAGAAGGAATCATGAGGGAAAAAACTGAATGATTTAACCATGTCATCATTCAACGCTTTTGTTGTCTCATAAAACACCGTAATATAGAAAACGAGACTGGACACGAGCTAATAACTGCAGGAGATTTTATGAACACAGAGAAGTCTGTTCCATGATTCAGTCCACCTTTGTGTACATTTGAAATTTTCATAAATTTTTAAATCACTAAAATAAAACCAAAAGACAAATGATAAACTGGGAAAAACGATTTTTTGCATATGTGAGAAAAGGCTAATATAAGTCATATATTACAGGATTTTACAAGCCAAAACATAACAAACGATACACAGAAACAGCAGTGGAGATGAACTAGCAATAAGTAAAAAAAATACAAGTAACCATTAAACACATTAGCCTTAGTGATCAAAGAAATAAGTTAAAACAAGTCACTGTTTGGTTATCAGACTACAACTAATGGTTGAAGAGGATACCAGGAGACAGGTATTTTTTAATGGGAACATAAGTTGGTAGTATCTTTCTGATGGACATTTTGGGGTACTACATATAAAAATCTATATCTGCTGATCCCAAATCTAAAATTTAGTCTCAAAGAAATTAGGACAACATTCAAACATGTGTCTTTAAAGATGCTTCCTCCTGCATCTGTGTAATAGTAAAAAACTGGAAATAATCCGAATGCCAACTGTGAGTGAGAACAGTAAACTGTGGTATTCTTCTTACATCAGAATATAATCCAGTCATAGAAAATGCTGTTACAACATGATGGTGAAATATTTATAGATATGGGACGGTAACAGGGTAGTAGGGTTCAGCACAGAAAGACAACTGAAAACATCTGAATGAACAGGTCTATAACCAATATAATGCTGGAGCTGGCAGGGGCTTAGAGGTCATTTACTCTCCTAATCTCACTCCACAGATGGGCAACCCTGGGCTTAGATCCAGAAAATGGTCTGCATGAAGTCATTTGGGTTAAGTTGCTTCCTCTAGCCTCAAGACCTCTAAATCATGAGGAGAACAACAGTAACAACCACAGATATATACTGGGGGTTAAGAGCCAGACACTGCAAGAATCCTAACCAAAACATCATCTCTACTCCTTACAATTGTATCCAAAAGAAAAAGAAGTGGGTGGTGGGGGAGAGAGAAGATAACCAATACCACCAGCTCTAGAGCAGCCAATAGATGTGAACCAAGGCACGGGTGATGTGGCCTGCCTTGGCCAGCATAGGGAACCCCCTTTTTCACTGCAGTGAGCACATATCTATGTAGGGTCCACAAAAAGGGGGTTTCCTCCCAGTGGTTTCTTACTTTGTTTGTGAAGCTAGACAGGCAACGAGAGACTGAAGATCTTTGAGCTTGAAAAACATGGAGTGTTTAAATAACTACTGTGGAGAACAGAGAGAAGAGCTCACTGTGGAGATTCAGAAAGCTCTTCCGCTGGCAGAAAGCACCATGAAGGAAGAACATGGACGTCCTGGCGGCACAGATCTAACCATGGCATGCTTTTCTGCGTGAAATCACTCCCAGTGTGGCTGTAGAAGGGTGAAGTGCACCAAACAGAAGCCATGAACTCAGTCCAGAAAGCACTCATTTCTCAGAAAAGCAAATATGCTTTTCCCCAAGATTTATGAACACAAGTTTTAATATGGATACACTATGATTTAGTCAGAGGCTTAAAAACATCTGCTCAGTCTAAAAAAAGAGAGGTCTCACACACTATGATCCAAAGACAAGACAGCAGGAGTGTGGAAACAGTGCCCATTCTTGTTTTTGTTTGTTTGTTTCTATTTTAAGGTAACAGTATGCAAGTTCTGGAAGAAAACTCTTTAAGGGGCACCTTTAGTCTGGGGTTTTGGAGATTCTAAGATTTTAAGATAAGCACAACTTTTAAATGACTGTTCTTCCATTCAGGCATATGGTCTGGAGTTCTGCCTAAATACATGCCTTCTGTAAACTGTAAGAAGCTTTTGGAAAGACGCTGAGATCTCTTGCCTCTGAGAACTCTTGCTTTTCTCTGCACTTTCTACAACATGAGTTAAGAAATTGTTTTTGGTGGAAGTACATCAGAAGACAGAAGAGAAACTGACGTGTGGAAAGGTACAGAAAGTTTTATGAATCCAGACAAATTTTCATGAATGAAGTTCTGTGTGGTACAAGAGACTGGATAAAATGCTTCTTCTCTCTCTCTGCACCTTCCTGAAAACAAGGAGGCGTTTTGCTGACAACACAGACACCTACTCTACTGTGACACTGACACTTTTTTTTTTCTGAATTCAAATGAAATTTTATTTTTATCAACAAGTAGAAAAATTCCGCATTTTGTATATTTTAACTCCTGCATGTTGTATATTTCAACACCTTATTAATCTGACAACAAAAGTTGAAAGTGAATTCTAATAACATTTGTATTTATAAGCTGAAAAATGATCATTGTAAACATTTCAAAAACAAAGAACCAAGTTTTTTTATGTTAACTCAGAGAATTTTTTAAGAAGTGTTAGTTTCCACCAAAAGTTCTCTTTATTTTTTTTCCTTTTTGCCACCAAGTTCCTTACCCAGCAAATTAATATATAATGAGAGAATAAAAGTTTGGTTCCTGGTATAGTTTTAGTTCAAGAAATATTTATTTATTTCTAATCCCAAGGCTAATGTGTTTAGCATAAGAGGGGGAAAAAAATCATGAGTTAGGCCTGCAACACAGTGGTCATTTCCACATACGTAGAGAACCACTTGGGCAGGCCCCATTGCCTAGTGATTAAATAGCAATACTATACAACACTGGAGAACAGAACATACATCAGCATAGCCAGCTTCTTCCCTAGCAGAGGAAGGAAATCCTTTCGCTATACTTAAAAAGTATAGTTGAAAGAAAAGAAAACTGAGGGCTTAAGCTGGAAATGCTCCTGAAACCCCAGCTAAACAGAACAGAACGCTACTATGTAACGAGTGTCTACTCTGTATTTGCACATACCTTTGGTTACATTTGGAGTCACCGTAGTATTTTTGATATCAGGACTGGCAGTTGTTTGTTCTGTCTGAGCAGGAAATTCATTGTTACTGCGAGGTTGTAGCGGTTGATTAAATTTTGGGGTCCGGCCTTGAAAAAAGTTTAAAACATTCTTTATTCTTTTACCTATACCAACTTGATTATGATAAAGTTATTTTATAACACTTTAAATATAGTTAGAGAACATTATAACCCAGCTGGCATTCCAGAGAATATCCAATTTTCACATTAAGAGCAGGCATACCTTTGGCTATTTTTGGAGGGGCTGTAGTATTTTTGAGGTCATTGCTGTTCCGAGGTGGTGGAGGTTGAGTAAGTTTTGGAGGACGACCTTGAAAAATGATTTAGAAAAGTTTAAACATTTTCCTTTTATGTAACATAATTAAAAGCAGTAATGTTAAGACTCCAACATTCTTAAAATAACTAACGCTGCAGAGTACTTTAAATCTCAGAGAGAAACGTATCATAAGGATAAATATTGCACTTTGCAGTAAATGTACAAATTTTATAAGGATTTCTGTTTTTAAATACTTAAAACACCTGAAAATAGTCTTAGGAAGGAGAATAATGGGGTGGAAAATGATGTTGGGTTCAAAAGCTAGAACGGTGTCATCACAATTTGATATATTATGTATTTGACTTACTTGGAAGAATTTATGGAGGGCCAACTACGTGTCAGGCACGGTGCTAGTTTTGGGGGAGACGATGGTAACCAATGTGTTGAAATATTATATAACATTGAGGGATAGTACTCTCAGTTTTAATTCATTCAAAGTAACAGACACTTAAAGTAAGGTTGCTGTTATAATCTTCAGTGGTTCTATGACACCAATATTACAGTACATGAGATCCTATTAAAAATGATTAAACTTAGGACCAGCAGTTGGCATATTGGCTATGTCGCTGAACTCTCATGTAGTTGACTGCAGTTCAAGTCCCAGACCCGGGAAGAGCTCACTGTGGAGATTCAGAAAGCTCTTCCGCTGGCAGAAAGCACCATGAAGGAAGAACATGGACGTCCTGGCGGCACAGATCTAACCATGGCATGCTTTTCTGCGTGAAATCACTCCCAGTGTGGCTGTAGAAGGGTGAAGTGCACCAAACAGAAGCCATGAACTCAGTCCAGAAAGCACTCATTTCTCAGAAAAGCAAATATGCTTTTCCCCAAGATTTATGAACACAAGTTTTAATATGGATACACTATGATTTAGTCAGAGGCTTAAAAACATCTGCTCAGTCTAAAAAAAGAGAGGTCTCACACACTATGATCCAAAGACAAGACAGCAGGAGTGTGGAAACAGTGCCCATTCTTGTTTTTGTTTGTTTGTTTCTATTTTAAGGTAACAGTATGCAAGTTCTGGAAGAAAACTCTTTAAGGGGCACCTTTAGTCTGGGGTTTTGGAGATTCTAAGATTTTAAGATAAGCACAACTTTTAAATGACTGTTCTTCCATTCAGGCATATGGTCTGGAGTTCTGCCTAAATACATGCCTTCTGTAAACTGTAAGAAGCTTTTGGAAAGACGCTGAGATCTCTTGCCTCTGAGAACTCTTGCTTTTCTCTGCACTTTCTACAACATGAGTTAAGAAATTGTTTTTGGTGGAAGTACATCAGAAGACAGAAGAGAAACTGACGTGTGGAAAGGTACAGAAAGTTTTATGAATCCAGACAAATTTTCATGAATGAAGTTCTGTGTGGTACAAGAGACTGGATAAAATGCTTCTTCTCTCTCTCTGCACCTTCCTGAAAACAAGGAGGCGTTTTGCTGACAACACAGACACCTACTCTACTGTGACACTGACACTTTTTTTTTTCTGAATTCAAATGAAATTTTATTTTTATCAACAAGTAGAAAAATTCCGCATTTTGTATATTTTAACTCCTGCATGTTGTATATTTCAACACCTTATTAATCTGACAACAAAAGTTGAAAGTGAATTCTAATAACATTTGTATTTATAAGCTGAAAAATGATCATTGTAAACATTTCAAAAACAAAGAACCAAGTTTTTTTATGTTAACTCAGAGAATTTTTTAAGAAGTGTTAGTTTCCACCAAAAGTTCTCTTTATTTTTTTCCTTTTTGCCACCAAGTTCCTTACCCAGCAAATTAATATATAATGAGAGAATAAAAGTTTGGTTCCTGGTATAGTTTTAGTTCAAGAAATATTTATTTATTTCTAATCCCAAGGCTAATGTGTTTAGCATAAGAGGGGGAAAAAAATCATGAGTTAGGCCTGCAACACAGTGGTCATTTCCACATACGTAGAGAACCACTTGGGCAGGCCCCATTGCCTAGTGATTAAATAGCAATACTATACAACACTGGAGAACAGAACATACATCAGCATAGCCAGCTTCTTCCCTAGCAGAGGAAGGAAATCCTTTCGCTATACTTAAAAAGTATAGTTGAAAGAAAAGAAAACTGAGGGCTTAAGCTGGAAATGCTCCTGAAACCCCAGCTAAACAGAACAGAACGCTACTATGTAACGAGTGTCTACTCTGTATTTGCACATACCTTTGGTTACATTTGGAGTCACCGTAGTATTTTTGATATCAGGACTGGCAGTTGTTTGTTCTGTCTGAGCAGGAAATTCATTGTTACTGCGAGGTTGTAGCGGTTGATTAAATTTTGGGGTCCGGCCTTGAAAAAAGTTTAAAACATTCTTTATTCTTTTACCTATACCAACTTGATTATGATAAAGTTATTTTATAACACTTTAAATATAGTTAGAGAACATTATAACCCAGCTGGCATTCCAGAGAATATCCAATTTTCACATTAAGAGCAGGCATACCTTTGGCTATTTTTGGAGGGGCTGTAGTATTTTTGAGGTCATTGCTGTTCCGAGGTGGTGGAGGTTGAGTAAGTTTTGGAGGACGACCTTGAAAAATGATTTAGAAAAGTTTAAACATTTTCCTTTTATGTAACATAATTAAAAGCAGTAATGTTAAGACTCCAACATTCTTAAAATAACTAACGCTGCAGAGTACTTTAAATCTCAGAGAGAAACGTATCATAAGGATAAATATTGCACTTTGCAGTAAATGTACAAATTTTATAAGGATTTCTGTTTTTAAATACTTAAAACACCTGAAAATAGTCTTAGGAAGGAGAATAATGGGGCGGAAAATGATGTTGGGTTCAAAAGCTAGAACGGTGTCATCACAATTTGATATATTATGTATTTGACTTACTTGGAAGAATTTATGGAGGGCCAACTACGTGTCAGGCACGGTGCTAGTTTTGGGGGAGACGATGGTAACCAATGTGTTGAAATATTATATAACATTGAGGGATAGTACTCTCAGTTTTAATTCATTCAAAGTAACAGACACTTAAAGTAAGGTTGCTGTTATAATCTTCAGTGGTTCTATGACACCAATATTACAGTACATGAGATCCTATTAAAAATGATTAAACTTAGGACCAGCAGTTGGCATATTGGCTATGTCGCTGAACTCTCATGTAGTTGACTGCAGTTCAAGTCCCAGACCCGGCGGCTTAAACTCACGCCAGGCGTGTGTACGTGTGTGCCCAAGATCCCGAGGGGGGAATGAAAGAGAAGGGATTGTGGTGTGGCCATCCCCCCTGGGGGGTGATTTCTCGCTTTCTGTCTCTGTCTCTCTCTGTCTTTCTGGCGAGCACACGTGCCCTATAGCAAAAACCTCTCAAAAAAAATTATTAAACTTAAGGGCTGATAGGGTGATGTCATGATAATGAAATGCTCTGTGAGGCAGGACCCACATGGTAAGGTCCCAGGGCTGCACTGGGTGGTTTCCCTGTACACGAGTTTTGTATGCATGTGATTAGGCTGGCTTGGGCTGGGGGTGAATCACAGGATAAAGACCCTCTCTGCCTCTCTCTCTTTTTCCCTCTCTCTCATGGGAAAAAAAAAAAAAAGTAAAAAACATATAAAAAATTCAGCCTGAGGTTAAATCTGGAAGTTAATTTCATCACATTACCTGAGGAATTATGCTATTCTTCTACTTGTAATTTTGAAAATCATTCTGCTATGTAACTTTGTAATAGGACCACTATTAATTTTTTAAAAATCCCTTTAAAACGTTGTAGTAAGTGTTCAAACACAAAATGTACACATTATTATACTTACTTTTGCAGAGAACAGCAGAATAATTTTAAATTAACAATCCAGTTAAAACACCATGCCTTGAATACACTGTGTCTTTACCTTTAGGGATGAACTGACATCCGAGCAGTTCCACTTTCATGGCAATTTTCTGCTGCCATTGGGTAGGGTTCACTCTAATAAAACGTGCAATAATTGGTGGCAAAAAGTTATTACGCACATCCTGGTGATAATCTTTGTTTCCTTGAAATATCTTTTAAAAAAACAACAACAAAAAAATTGATACTTGACATTAGCAAGTCAGGGCTAAATAGTTCCACTTAGACATATTTTTGTGTTTTTTTTTGCTCTGGGCCTTAAATAGCATCTGTAAAGCATAACAGTAAGTGTTAATTTCTAAGAAAATTAATTGTGATTTGGAAAAATTTTTAAGTATCTTCATCAATAATATTCATCAAAAATCTATCAAAGGGAGAGACAAGCAGATGGCATAATGGTTACATCGCTGGACTCCCACGTGGCTGACCATGGTACAAGTCTTGGACCTGGAGGCTTGAAACTCACAAGAGGCATGTGTGCATGCCTAAGATCCTGGAAGGAAAAAGGAAGAGAAGGAATTGTGGCTTGCCCTCTCCCCCTGGGGGGGTAATTTCTCACTTTCTGACTCTCTGGCAAGTGTATGCACCCTATAGGAAAAAACTCTCTTTAAAAAAAAAAAAATCTATCAAAGGAAAACACTGATCATCAAAATAATTTTAAGATAATTTGTGAATTTAATAAAAATGCTAAGCTGGCAATTTAGGAAAAGTGTGTCAATTGTAGTTAGACAGTTAATTGTATTTATAAAGTAATAACTCTAGTCCTGTGAAATTACCAACTAAAAATAACATATGATATAAACAATTACTTTCATTATATTAGTATATAAGTTTACTACATAAATACATATAAATAAAAATATTAATTTTATTTTAAAAGTAAAAAAAACAAATGATCATACAAGAACTTAGAGGCAATGCTTTGCTTGTGTAGTTTTCCTAAATTTTCTCAATACATAAACCAAAAGTGAACGCATACTAGTGAACACAACATAGCTATCTACCTCCACCTACTGGATAAACTGCATAAAAACAGCTTTCATTCTTCGTGCTATTTGAACCAGAAAAGTGCCTTGAAACACTGCTCCATATCTAATTTAATGATCATAAGTAATAACAAAAAAGTTAAATAAATAATCAGTAGGTAAAAATCGGATATTACATTACTACATAATTTCCCCAACTACTTAAAGCAGATCTTAATTATTTACAAAACATTTTCATGTACCTACTCAGATGTTCTTCATGACAACCCTGTCAAGAGGCAGGAACAGTTAACTGACTCAGAGCATGTATGTGGATTGCTCAGCCTGCCAATGACAGGGCAGTGGTTTGAGTCTGAGTTTCTGATTCAAATATCCGATTCCAATGAGCTAAAAAGAGCTCTGTTTGCTCCCTCAGGCCAACTCAAGTAGCTCAACTAAAGACTATCAGTTAAAGTGGATATGTGCTTAAAATCAAAGTGATTTTTTTTTTTAATCAGGTAAGGTGAGAGTAAGTAAATGTTTAACTTTCCAATTGAGTTATTTCCAAATAATCCTTCCTGAAATATGTTTTTCCTGGCTGGTACACATGACATTAGAATAAACCTCTAAAAATGAGTTAATAACTTCCATTTTATAAAAGGTTTGTCTGGGATTTTCAATAATCCCCACACTAGTAAGCTTCCATGCTTTTCACAGATACTACTCTGAAATAAAATAAAAGCAATCATTTGCAGTCTTACTGGATTAACTGAACATGAATGACAGTAAAATATCATTTTAGGACATGAGAATTACTGCTAAGGTCTTAAATCTATATCACCATGTCAATTTTATAAAAAAACTTAAAGGAAAGATCTTGTGAAGCTGAGTAAAAAAAGATTTTCTATACTCAAACTATATGAACACTTCCTGAGAATCTCTGTATACAGGGAGGTCTGCAAGGTGTCAATCAGGATGAAATGGAAGTCAGAGGCCCCACTCTCAAGGAACTTACAATTGTATCGGATATTACCACACCTAAATATAGCCTAATATAGACACTAATACATAATGAAAGCAAATTGTATGTTTATGTGTATATTAATCTCATTTTGTAAAACCAAACCAAATGTGGTCTCCTTCTCCATGTGTGTCCTCAAGCACATGTGCAAGCTTAGAAAAGATATGAAAATAAATATACCAATTACCCTGGAGTTGGGGGTAGATGAGGAAGTAAGTAAACTAAAGCATGTGAGAGAAAGATTATTATTTCATCTTTTTTTGGGGGAAGAATGATTTATTTAAATTTATTTATTCATTCAGTCATTTTCATTTGACCAGAGAAAGACAGGCACATAGGGAGAAGTGAGAAAGCAAGCCACCAGGTCTGAGACTCGAACCATAGTCCACCATGTGGGAGTATCCAGAACCTTAACCACCATACCACCTGCTGACCCTATTATTTCATCTTTAGTTCCGTTTGTAAATTTCAAAAATTTAACTGTATTCCCAAAGTAGAACACATACACAAGTAAATCCAGATGTATTGCAAGTAAAGGGTAGTCAAGTTTGGGGAATTAAACAGAAGATGGGTGCAGAAACTCAATTGTACGTGCGTTAGTGGGTAGAGGCTCATCAAAGGTGAAGTGCAAGCGATACTGAGAAGAGAAGAAGGCAAGCAGAAAGGTTTAGATTCATATGAAGACAACAGGGAGCCCCTGGAGACTTTTGAACAGAGAGATGAGAAAAGGTCACTGAAGATAGATGACCAAATCATATGTCCAGTAGAAAACGGCAACTATCAGATAATCAATACCAAAACCATCTGCAAGTTTCACTGAGAAAATGTGCTTACAATTTCATTCTAGAAGAGAGACACCTCTCTTTCTCGGGGAAGAGATCTTCCATGCAAAGATCTGGTGGTAGATCATGAGCCAGGGGTCTGCATGGAAGGGACAGAGACCCACCTGTACCTACCCTCCACCCGTCACCTTCTAGTTTACTCCAGCATTTCGTAACTTATGCTGACTAAGATAAAGATGCTATAACTGCCATCAGAAGTTCAGAACATTTTTGAGTAGGGAAGAACAAGTTCTCTAGGATGAAAGTGGTGATCTTGAGACGACCTTCCAAGTCTACAATATCCTATAATTGGATGCACTTTGGTTTTCATTTTCTCTCTTTCCTCACTTGCCTACAAAGTACTATTCTGGGAACAAACTCTACTTACCATTCAGTGGAATGGTAAACAAAACAAAACAAAACAAATACAAAACAAACAAACAAAAAAAACCCCAAAAGCAACAACAAAAACAAAAAACTCTATAAAGAAAAGAAATGACAAGTTCTTTTCTAGACTTTCTTAATAAAATATCTAAGTAATTCAGTTAAACATACAGTAATAAATCAGGAAAGTACTTATCTGTATAATCATCACTGAGAATTTTCTAACCATAGGTAGAAAAGGGAAGGCCAATAACTAACACTACCTAAAATAACCAGAAGAGGGCAGTGTAGGACAGACTGATCAGTAACTTCTACCTATGTATCTCTTTTATACAAGAGACCCCCTGTGGCTTTCATCAAAGGTCTACTGAAAAAAATGTTGAGAATACCTTAGTAATCATTTTACCTTATCCTGCTCCACACCAGGCTCTCTGTACACAGTCCACTTCTGCCCATCATCACTATACAGAATTCTGTAGGCAGACACATAGTAATTGTGCTCCACCATGGTGGATCCAGTGGTTACGATGCCTGAGGAACGAAGAATTAATTGTTTTGTTAGTGCACAGGGTTTGCATCTGAGGTTTGCTCAGCACTGAAGCATAAGTACCTGAGACCTGCTGTTCAAACGTTTCCACCTATGGCTCATTTCTATGTCTAAGTGAACGTTTCCAGTTACTAAATCCTTATCTTTATCCCCTCATGGAGGTAGCAAGAACTATGGCACACGTAAGCAAAGGACTAGTGTATTCTGGCAGTTTGTGTTCATATTATTGTAAACATATTTCAACTGCCAAGAATGATTTCCTGGAAATGAGCAGATTAAAGATGATCACTGGTATTATCTTCACTACCAAAGCAAAGTAAATCTTTTAACTAAACTATCTCAACCAATCCCAACCATTTGCTCTATTTCCCTAGATTAAATTTATATTCTGTGCGGGACCAGCAATTAGTGTAATGGCTATGTCGCTGGACTCCCACATAGTTGACCGCGGTTCGAGTCCCAGACCCGGTAGCTTAAACTCACGCCGGGCGCATGTGCGTGCGTGCCCAAGATCCCGAGAGGAGAATGGAGGAGAAGGGATTGCGGCGTGTCCATCCCCCCTGGGGGGTGATTTCCTACTTTCTATCTCTCTGTCTGTCTCTGTCTGTCTGGCGAGCGCATGTGCCCTATAGCAAAAAAACCTCTCCAAAAAAAAAGAAAAAGAAAAAAAAATTATATTCTGCACATGTGCTTTATTATTTATAGTACTGAAAATGGACCCCTAAACAAACTTCTCTTAATGACTGGAAAAGATGGTTATTTCAGATGTCTCAAGATCACTTCAGTAAAACACTACCTTAAGAACGATGTATTACAATGGAATACAAAAGCCATTGAGGATTAAATGTGAATGCCTTGCCTCTGTGATATTTTATAGAACTGTCTCCAGTGCAGATAACTTAAAAAACTATATAATGAAATTTCCAGTGCCCTGAGGCCAGCAGATGGTATAGTGGTTAAGGTGCTGGACTCCCACATGGCCGACCACAGTTCGAGTCCTGGACCCAGTGGCTTGAAACTCACTCTGGGTGTGAGCGTGTGCATGCCCAAAATCCTAAGAGAATAAGGAGAAGGGATTGTGGCGTGACCATCTCCCTAGTGAGTGATTTCTCACATTCTCTCTCTCTCTGTCTCTCCTGCGAGTGCACATGCCCTATAGCAAAAGTCTCTCTAAAAAAAATTTAACAAATTTTCAGTGTCCTAATTTTCTATGAAAAGCTTAGATGACACCATGTTTCCAAATAAGATCAGTACTGTGAAATGTCCTAGAAAATGATCTTTTCACCTGTTATCTTCTTCTCCTTATTCAGATCTATTTGTAGCCACTGATATTCATCAGTGGCAAAAGCAGCCCACGGAGGTCCAGGTTTTCTCAGCCTGGCTTTCTCGGGTTTCCAGCTGTTCTCCTGCCCTGTGTGGTCGGTCCACTCCAGCACGGACGAGGCCGTTATTTGAGGATCAGCAATCACGCCAGATTCCATGCCCAGTGTTCCGTAACAACCTGAAACGAAGATGAAAGCACGTTTGGTTTCCAGAAATAAATTCAAAATGGATGTAAATTTGCTCACTTCACACTCTCTATCCCATGTTCGATTAACATATACCATGCTAGTAACACTCTGTGTGAGAGAAATTTCAAAAGCAGGCAAATGTCTAAAAGAGCTAGGCATATTTCAACTGTGTTTCTAGTGACTTGCCG